GATTAACTTTCAATTCGATTACAGGAGGTGGCGTCTCGATATGCCCTGGGCGTTTCTTTGCGAAGCAGGAAATCATGTGGACGCTGGGGATACTTGTGCTGAAATTTGACATCGAGGAGATTAAGTGGATAAATATGGACGGGTCGCCTTCTGATCGTCCTGCAAGGAACCATCCAAATTGGGCCGGAGGCGCCTCTGAGCCTCCTGATCGTGATTTGCAGATACGTTGGAAGAGGATCTGACAGGATAAATATAAATTAGGACGTCTCTATTTGGATTTGAAGCCTCCTTTGAACCTTTGGCCCCCAAGATGTGTGTCCTTCATTATTCGAGACCAGGCAAGTATGATGCTTCTCAGATAAATAGTCACACTGAAAAATATGGACTGTATTATCGCGACCCGACTTTGGACTACCGCTTCAATATGTGAAATGGATTTCCTCAAAAGTCATACTCACTAATACATAATAATGTTAGAAAGCAAAATTCATTATCATCAGGATCGCCGCCGCCTAGTCACTATAACATCTCTACTGTAACCCAGTGGGATTTGTGTCATCTTTTACAAAACGCAAAACCCGCTAACAATGTTGTGTAAGCTGGCTGGAGTGCTCGGATGTGGGGCTTCAACTATTGGTGACCGAACGGGTCTCAATGATTGGGAACTATGGTTGATAAGTATGATGAGGCTCAAGTTATTGAAGATGAGCCCCAGAAGTATGATAGGGGCATGGTGTTGATCATCCTCACTTGATAGAAGATGATGGAATAGGACACATTATTGGCAAAGTTGGACTTGGGACAAAAGGCGATGGAGCTAAACGCAAGGATTGTGCATGTTGGGTATCTCTTTAATTAAACAAATAAAAGACAAAAATCGCGTGCGGTTAAGATACCAACGCCCCAATTTCATTTTACGGTGATCGACAGATACAAGACCTCATTTTGGGATAAGTTCGCCAAGGAGCCAACAGCAGTAGTCACGCTCTCTGGCAGCCCTTGCGGGAGAGTTTCATGGTGGTAATATAGGCACATGGGATCCTCCATTACGTTCAGCACGGGCACTGCAAGGAAGAACTCTGGCGTCTCCTTGCATCTCCAAGGGTGGCTGGATGGATGTTTGTCTTGCACACCAACTCCAGCTTTTTCGACCACTCTGATGGATGAACCATCACGCTCGAGCCTCGTGCTTTGTGCAGCCGGCCAGTTCCCACGGGTATAATCCATGCGTACGTACTCCGACCAAGCACACCTGGTGAAGCGAGCCAATGACCCCCATGCCCACACTTCTAGTGCTCCCGAGTCGGAACTCCACCCGGCCACCGGCGGCAGCTCCCTTGCCTTTACCCCAGGGGATGCCCGACTCCAAGTGCCAAATACCCCACATTCCGTGGTTCCCACTGCGCTATAGCTAATTGTCCTCAGTCCTTTCTGACGAAAGCGTGCTTTTGCTAAGAATGCCACCTGCCCTGTCTGCAAAGACGGCAATAATCTTCCGACCACTTGCAATTGGCCATGACGAATATGTGATTACGAATCCCTAGTGGGGGCATTTGCTATGGCAAACAATGAGGCGACCTGTTTGTTGGCTCCACCATAATTCCAAGCTTGGTGCAGTGGTTGCATTACATCCTCATGCAGCCATCGTCATTGTCACTGCCCTGAGCACTGTGCCCTGTGCCCTGCCTTCCATTGGCCAATGGCGAACGGGTGACTTGACATAAGAAAACACATAATGGCGGACAAACCACCTTGGCCGGGAGGTAAACTTGACCTGTATAGTGTACGGAATGTGGAGAGAAGACCCCAATCGAATTGCTAGGGAATCGAAATTAAGAAAAAGAAATCTACGACTGCTGTTATGCGCCAGAAAGAAGTATAAATGGTATTAGCCACAGAAGGAAACAGACCTCAAATTCTTTTGACATCAGATCTCCCACCGTTGTTTTCCCAGGTCAAACCGTCTTCACTCTCATAATCGTCTGTCGGTTCTCTCAGAGCAATGCAATTCGTGCTCGGCATTCTGGTTTTTGGCTCTGCGCTTTGCAGTGCCTCCATCACGCTGCTTGATCCTTCCGATATCATCAATCCCGCACTTTGGGCTGACGATAATGCGATAATACCCGACTACAATGTGGCATTCCCGTCCACCCAACCTTCTGCAAGTAAGCATCGCGCGATACCCAACGATTCGAGCTTCGCTTTTTGCTAACGACATGGTGAAAGTCGAGGCTGCGTACTCGTGGGACGGCGAAAGCGTGTCCATCGATCATGAGACATACACCGTAGATGCCAATGACACGAGTGTCATCCTCGTCGCCAACGACGGTAGCTTGGACGCCTCTTACATCGATGTGATCAAGTATGGCTATGGTTCGAATCTGCTGTACTCCAGCTTCTGGGGTTTCAATGCCGCCATCAATGTGGTATGTTGTTGCTATGGTCCTATTTACTATTCGTGATGCTATTTCTCTGACATCCTTCTAACCCGCTTGGCCGGTGGAATCAACTGATACTCGAGCCAGGCGAACGCATCCACCGCCAACCTTGACAATGTCAACGTTACGGTACACAACGGTGCCGCGAACGTGTATGCCTACGGCAGCAACACCCTGGTCAACGTCAACAACTCGTGGTTATACAGCAGCGGACCTGTTAGCCACGGACTGTACGCGTCGGGCAATGCCACGATCGTGGGTCGTAATATCCAGCACTTCAGCGGCGGTCGGCGCTCTTCCGCCTTTGCCGGAGACTCTCCCGCGGGTTACGTCTACGTGTACGACAGCGTGGCTCACACACAGGGCATCGGTAGCGCAGCCTTCTACGCTCTGGGCACCGTGTACGGCGAGAACGTGGTCTCGCTCTCCGAGAACGCGCCTGTGATCTTCATGGATGGTGTACAGAACGCCACGCTGGTGGACTCAGACTGCACCGCGGGCCTGCTCGGCGGCGTCGCCATTTTCAGCTCGCAGGTGCGCCAGACTGGCGGCAAGCTCGAGCTCATCAACTCCAAGATCACTACCCTGGGTGACGAGATCCCCGGACTGTGGTTCGGTAATACCATAGTCAATGTCACCATCGCCAGCAGCGAGATAGTCGCGCCATCCGGCTTGCTCATCGTCGCCAACTACTCTCAGATCACTCAGGACTTTGATTACTACGCCGGCTACCCGGATAACAACAACCTCCTGCCTGCTGAGGTTTACACCACCGTGACCGAGTCCGATCTCAACGGCGACCTTGTACCCTACAATGGCAGCTACATCTCATTCTCTCTGGCCTCGTACAGCACCTGGAACGGGGCCGCCTATGCGGGCTACGGAGTCGGTCTGGTCGATGTCAGCCTGGATGCGACCAGCAACTGGACGCTGACCCAGTCATCCACAGTGCAGCAGCTCTCGGATGACGATGCGACGCTCTCTAACATTGACAGCGCGGGTTTCACGCTTTACTACAATGCGACGCTGAATGATTGGCTTGGTGGTCAGACATTGCAGCTTACTGGAGGGGGTTCAGCTACCCCCATTGCATGAAAATAGATATATGCACAATCGTAGTTCTGCTGGACGATTTTATATCTAGTTTGTTTAATTTACTAACTGTTCAACTCGAAACTTCGAGGGACGGTTTGGCAAGGAGAGCAAACCAATCAACTTTGGGGGCATTAATACGGGCCTGAAATTCTAGGATGCTGTAATCATAAGATGTTGCGACTTACTGGTATTGGGAGAGTCGAAGCGGCCTAATACCTGGATAAAGCCACAATCCTATATGAAAATGAACTATGGTGTTCACGACAACCGACACCTAGTTTTGGTTAATATTGTGAGTCTATCACGCGATTTGCGAATTAGTTTAAGCTTGTCTCTTGTCATAGGATATTGAATCAAATGGCTACGTAAGCATCATCTCTCATCTATCAGCATGGAAATAAAGTACAGGAAGGAATTTTTTAAATCATAATACGAAAGTGGGAGACATGCGTTACCCCTGACATACATATAAGGGCGCTGATGTCACCTGCCTATTTGCGCTGTGTTTGCCGAGTTATTCACGTTCCCTGCCCTCGAGTCGCCAATGCAGCAAGCTATAAGTCCGATATGATACGGTACAGTCCAAAACATACACGAGCTACGCTCTTTGATACATCCGAGATGCGGAAATCTATACAAAACCACCAACTCTGCGACCCATATTCCTTGAGCACCGAAATGATACGTAAATTATCTCTTGCGAATATCAACGAGTTGAGGGCTCCGCACCAAACCGAACATAGAGCCATGCCATAGCCGGCGATCTTGTCACTGTTCCAAAGAAAGCTTCGGTTATTTGGTAGATTACGGCTTGTATTATTAGTATTGTCGAAAAGAAGACTCGAAAAGAAGACTTGTGGTTGAGGTTGAGATAATAGAACAACCAATACCTGAGTTGTTTGAAACTTAAATAAATCAGTGTAAATAGATAGATCGCCTCTATAATCACACAACAATCCGGCCCTTGACCTTTGGGGCAAATGACTCGATTGCTCGGTCATTGATCGTTGTTGCGTCAATATTGTCATTGTAGTTATTGTCCTATGTACCCCAGACGGGTGGAACCAGAAGTAAATGCTCCCTTGGGATTATAACAAGCGACGACGAACAGGTCTTGATCGCAAAGAGAAATTGGATTCAATACTGAGCAGGCAAACTATTGCCGATATCATTATCTATACGGCGGTTGTCTGCTATCTGTCCATCTAGGGTTGATATATATATATCAGCACTTCAGCGTTTTGATGAAATGGTCTCTGGATGAAGTGACTTGATAAACCCTGGAGTAGATAGTCTATGGCCAAGTAGTGAGGTCGCCATCGTCGAGGGCATCGGTTGAAATTTTTTAAAAGAAAATGAAACGAAAAAAAATATTGAAATCGCTCTTTCTGCTTGAAGGACAGGTTGCGAAAAAGATTTCTGGTATTTGGAGAATTCAAAAAATGAAATCAGCAAAAAATAATCAGCTGCTCAATATCAGGATTGAACTGATGACCTTCGCATCACTATATGCTTCCCAAGAGAAGTATTAGTACGACGCTCTAACCAACTGAGCTAATCGAGCTGATTGGGTGATGATTGAGTAATTTATCATTACTCATATATGGAAAGAAGGTCTGTGCGGGCTGATCAGCGTCTCCGACCCCCGCCAGCTGGCAAGCTGCTCTTTGGGTGGAGTGGCAGAAACTTTTGTAACTTAGTGGAAAGTCGCCAAGCACTTGCCGACAGCATCAAGATTGGCACATCTACTATGGATTGCATGATGTTAAAACGTACACCGCGAAGTTTCTTGCAACGAGCACATTGAAAGCAGACAGGAGCTTTACCCCGAGAATATATTATCGCCGTGGCTTGAATAAGAAGAGGGTGCAATGAAAAGATGCCTGTATCAAGACGACCTGATTAGTTGGCAGGTACCATAATCCCACAAGACATGGAATAGCCTAACTAATGATACACATATTGGTGTCGGCATCGATTCGCTGTTTATCAACGTTAGATGCAAGCCTGAATGGCATTGGGATCCTGTCCTGGCAGATCGGAGACGTGCTCATCCTGTGGACATATGTGCCCGAAGTCGTGAGGTACATAAATATTGCACCAATGGTTGACGTTCAATTCTCGTCTTATACACTGCTAAATCTCCCTGGTTGATGCCTTCCGTGGCTAAAGGCAATTGGACGCATATTCACGCCCAGTGGTTACACAAGTAGGAGTCGGAGAGCGAGCCCCCGCATTCCGGAAGTCCTACACCACCACACCAAGACCTTTTTCTTTTTCTTTTTCCCTTTTCGAGGCATCGAGCCACCCATCTGAGGCCTGGAGAAGTGCGAGAAGTGCTTCCGAATGCGATTGACTCCGACAAGAGGGAAACCCCCACATACTGCCGAGATTGGCTAACACATATAACTCCAGACCGCCATGGTGGTGCAATTGGGGCAGCGATCAGAACTAATGTGCCATGCTCATTTCCCACAGTTTTAGACTGAAGGACTCCGATGCATTCATATCGGACCCTACCTTAGATACAGACATTGCGACCATGTACTGCATTCCTATTTTTAGATCCTCTATAAACTTGTGAGGTACTTTTGTTCGTGTCCTTTGATGGCGAGATGTATTCAGCCCAACTTGATAACTACCGACTTCAACCCCTGCGCCCTCTAGGACGAGCTTGCTTGGCAACGCCTAAGCTCACTCGGCAGGCACGTCGGCGCGACGGGGTTCTGGGCTTGATGGGCACTGTATCCATTTTATTCGCTGTTATCCGCAGCCACGCCGGCCTTGAGCAAGGGCCAAATCGGGAAGGGTTGCACGGAGAGGGCTCGCAATTGGATGAACTTCAGCTGGAAATGCCCAGAGGTTGCATTTTGCCCGTAACTACGTTGCATGGCCCCCTAATAGCCCCAGCCGTATATGCATGATAGGGCCCAAAGCTGACTTTCCCGAAGACAAGTGAAGAAGAGAGCTGCCCCGTCAGCAGGAATCATAAGAATGTCTTTTATGAGCTTCAGCCATCAAGTCGCACCTAATAATGGCTCCAGAGGCTTCTACGGACAAGCAGATGAAGTGTGGTCGAGTTAACGTACATTGAGAAAACATTGTTGTGGCGATGCGTCGACAGTCTTCGACATACATCACAATTCCAAGCGGCGGGAAACAAGCTACGCCAATGCTGACACATGATGCACGAAATGAACAACCTAGTCCACCTTCTGTAGATGTCCACATCGATTCATCGCCACTGTTAAGTCAGGGACTCATGGATTTCAGAAGTCATGCGCCAAATGAAGCTGCCATAGGGGATAACCTGGGATACTACTATCCCCGCACCGCCCCGAAGCCACCGGTGGTCGATTGTGAGACCAAGGAGATTCAAGGATCAACGGATCGAAATGCGTCTTTGGACGGTGACGATCGGTTCGGGAACACATCGTATCATGGAGTTGATCTGAACCATACGGCTTCAGCTTCAGCAATTCCAAACTACAGACCCATTGCCCTCAGAAACTGGTTCCTTTCCATCCTCTTCTGCTTAGTATTGGTTCTAGTTGGATTGTTAGAATGGGCTGTACATGTGCTCCCCAATGCAACAAAAGCTGCCAATCCCCTGTACCAGATCCAAGGTGGAACAACGGTAGGAGCACGGAAGCTACCGTATCAACTAATTCGACCCATAGTGGAATATAGCGCCATGGTGAAGCGGCAAAATGAGACGGGCGGCTTCCCAACGACGATAATCTCGACTGCATCAAGCTCTCCTGGTGGTAGCGCGAGTGTGGATACCACCGATACAACGATCACGAGATGTACCGCTGTCGCTTCCGTAGAAGTCGAGACTTTAACAATCACGGTAGTCAATGTAACGATTACTATTAGCCCGGGCGAGACCCCAGCAAGCGATGCGAGCGTTACTTCTCCTGATATTATGTCTGCCACCACAGTTTTCTCAGAAGCCAGCCAGTGTACCCAGACTACAATGCTTTCAGTTATATCATCGACTGCATACGTCACAATTGGGCTCAACACCGTGACCGTAATTGCAGGAGGGGATGTCTCTACAGTTGGAGGAAGTGGAACCGGACGAACAGGCGTTGGACCCACTGGGGAAGCCGTTGGCACCCCAGGCGGGCCAACTCAAGCTTCCACCTCTACAATTGTGACTACTGATACCCCTTTTAGTACGATTACTGTCGGTCCAACTGCCGGCTCTGGGTCTGAGACAACTCAGTCCATGGCCCCCAGTAGTTCACGGTTGACAGCAGTGGTTAGTCCAATAACAACAACTGTGGTGGTATCGTCGACAGACCAGGATGGCTCTGTGCTCTTGAGTACTCTGACAACAATCTCAACGCCTACTTTATCAGCCCCTGGTGCAGATGGAGACAATTCCGCCGTCGTGTCGGAGGTTAAACTGACGTTGACGGGCGCAGAAGGAAGTCCTACAGCCACCATCACCGTTCCCGCAGTCGCTTCCGAGGTCGTCACGACTTTCACAAACTCTGCTGGCCTTGCCACAGCGACCGCAACGCTAGCACTCCTGTTCGATGGGCACACGACGGTATTGACTGATTCCAATGGCATCCCGTCGGCCACAGAAACTTACTTTGTATTTGAGTCAACGAGCGTTTTAACGGACAGCCAAGGAAAGCCGACTTCTACAAGTACAGATATTCTAATCGAGTCACCCGAAGTGACCATTTTGACAGATGCAGGCGGAAAGCCAACGAGTACCGTCACGATCCTAACCATAGCAAGCTTGCCAGGCTCTAACGACCCGGTTCCTACCACATCATCACCTTCAGCTGGACAAAATACCACGGGCAACGAGGTTTTGTTGGTCTACGGTATCACGCAGGGCCAATACTTTGTCGGTTTAATAGTACCCACGCTGCTCGCCACACTGATCGGTATCCCCATACGCATCCTCGACCGCACCGCCAAGTTATATCAACCATTTCACTCGCTTGCAACCTCTGCACGTGGCAGCACCGCCTCCGAATCATTGCTTTACCGTACCAACTCTGCTCTGGGCACTGGGCTAGCCAGCTTCTTGGCCCTGCTGAGTGGTCGGGGCCGGGAACAAGCTACGGTCGCCGTAACTACACTGCTCGCGCTTCTCAGTGCGGTCTTGGTCCCCGTGGGCGCTGAATCCGTGCGCGTGGTGCTCCAGGGCGAGAGCTGCCACACGGGGCAGAGCAGTGCCGAGAACTGCGCCATCACGCTGGGCGTGTCCCCCGCGGCCGCGGTTGCGGCGGCCACGCTGCTGGCACTCATGGCGGCGCTGGTCGTCGCCGTGGGGCTCCTGCTCTGGCGGTACCGGACGGGCTTGTGGGCTCCGCCGTGGAGCATGACGGCCGCGTCGGAGATGGCGGCCAACCACCACCTGCGCATGCTCCTGGGCCAGCTGCGTGAGGACTCTGGGGGCGCCATCAGACGCGCCGATGCGATGAAGGTGCTGGGCAGGCAGCGCTACGCGCTCGACCGCTGGGATGATAGCGGCGTCGCGAGGTACGGAGTCTTGGTTCGCGACGAGCTTGGGTATCTGGGGCCGAACGACCTTCAAACGTGGACGCGAGGCGGCGGCGGAGGGTTCTACCCCAGCAGACGGACGAGCAAGATTATGCCTTCTTTCATGCTCACTATCGCAGGAAGAGTGCTGTTCCTGCTTCTGCTGTGCGGGCTCTTAATACTTATAGTGGCATATGACCGAATCTCCGTGCGCAGTTCGTTCACAGATTTCATGAACAGTGAGTCGGTGGGTGTACGCGTCCTGTTCACCAGCGTTGGTGTCATCACCAGTCTATTCTGGCATTCCTACTTTCAGTGTAAGTACAAACCATTTTCTTGTCTTTGCCTTCAGTATATCTTTACTCATACACTTCTACAATGTAGGCGTGGCGCTTGTGAGTCCTTACAAGGTTGTGCGAACGGCCAAACCACGCCTGAGAGAGAAGGCATTTAATATCAGCCCTCCCACGAATGCATTCAGTGGGTTGTACAAAGCCTTGTTGCACCGTTACGGGGACTTTTACTTGGGCTTTGTCGCTGCCACATCTATCATGTCGATTTTCTTACCTGCACTCCTCAACAACGTGCCGTACCGAGTTATTGAAACGTATCTCGCGCACATGGTGTGCACATGGCTGGCGGTGGCCATCTTGAGTATCATGGTAATCGTCATGCTGGCATCGTTCTTTGTACAATGGCCGAACATGCCTATGGATCCAAGTACCTTGGCTGGTGCCATGTACTATGTCGTCAATCCTGATATGCTACTGGAGATGGAGCAACCAGAGTCACGGAGAGGGTTCGCACATAAAGCAGATAACTTTTAATAACTTCTATAAATAATAATCGGGTTGAAGCTCGTTGAAATCCTAATTTCATTTCTAATGCCCGCCTTCCGGGTCACTTTTCCTCGCTCGTTTCTTGGTCGTTTTCTCTCACATGTGCTCCTGAGGTCGCAATCTAACCAGTGAATTTTTCATCAATTTTTCCTCTGCTCATAGTCGTCCGAATATCCACTTCTCCAGCCTAGCTGTCTGGTGACCCGTATCGAAA